CCACATGTGACCATAAAGAGTCATAATACATAAGGAACCCAATATTTACACAAGTTTTTGCTATCAGTTTAGGATCACTCCGTGGCAGCAGAGAGCAGCATCATCACTTGTATCCGTGCAGCTCCTGCAGGTTTTGTATGAACAGCTTCATTTGTAGATGAACTTGTCAATGCGTTTACTAAGTAAAATGCCATTGGAGATGTGGAGCTCGTAAGACGTGCGCAGTCTTTATTCACAGGGTGCGATGCAGCACCGTGTCCCGAGTTCAGAGCCAGGATGATGCTGTCCACAGACAGCCAGAAGATCCTGGAGGGCTGTTAGCCTCCGGCCAACAAGGGTTGTGTTCCTCCAGGCCGTCTGGCTGGCGTGAGCGGCTCCACGAGTCCCCCGGGCCGCCAGTTGGCCGGTCGTTCGACTTAGACAGAACCGCCTCTATCATTCTCATTCGTTATGGCCCGTCCAGCCACTAGCCCTCGAACGCAAGTAATGTCCATCTATGGGGGCAGTAACAAAAGTACCTGAAGGGACCAGGCGATTGCAGTGTGTGTTACACAGCTCGGAACCAACACCGACGGAGACGAGGGTTCAGTGATCGAACAACTGCAGCGTTTTTTGTGTCAAGATCGTAGAGACACACTGCCACAGGTTAAAAAATACTCCATCAGTCATTAGCAGGCTCGATACCTGCGGTGTCTTAAAACAAGCATTATTATATCACGGATGAACGTTAACGCCGGAGAACAAAGAGTGTACTCCTGACATCTTCCACAAGAAGCTCGAATGAATTAAATCTGAACTGGGTTCACCAGTGTGAAGGAAGTTAGTGCATTCTTAATTAAATTCAACTTCAAATTTTATTTGTATAGGCCGGGGGGCCCATCTCTTCGAGTACTCTCAGGACACTTTTCAACAGTAAGCCAGGTCTAGCGACCGAACTCTTAACATTTACCAGAGACCCAACAGTACCAACATGAGCAAGGGGAGCGTGCGGGCGGCAAAGAATAAACTGCCTTTTACACAGGCAGAAACCTAGACAGACCTCCGCGCTCGAGGTGCGGTGGTCTCTGCCTCTGCCTTGCGGGGAGAGACGAGAGTGAAGGAGAAGAAACAGAGCAGAGACAACAGAGAGGAGACAGAGAAGACAGATGTAGCCCGTGGCAGAGCGAACTACATTAAATGAGTAGTTTGTATTCTATATTTGATCTGATTACCATGAAAAAAGACAATCGACAATTCGCAGCGCCACGTGGGGGACAGCGCGCAGCAGCCGACAACCAGTAACCTGTTAGCGAATGAATAATACTCTGTACATAATAAGCTCAATAACGTGAGTAACAACAATTAATACAGTGACTTTTAGCAATGCGTGTAGTCCAGAAGGGGACCATCGGCAGGAACCAGTGAGTCTCCTGAGGTTTTTGGGGCCCAAGTATAGGATTTTCGTTAAAACACACACACACACACACGTTGGGATTCTTCAGCAGAAAACATGACATTAAAATGTAGTCAGTCACTGAAAACAAATTATATGGAAATGTTTGTAATTTGTAACGTAGTTCGTTCATGAGATTGCCAAAAAATGGAATTTGAATATTTTTGGGTTGCTTTAAATAGACCAAGCCACAAAAAATCCAAATTGTTCTCTTTAAACATCTGAATTTAAATTTTATTTGCATTGAAAATGTTTTAAATCTGTAAATTCAGCATTTACAGTCAAACACAGAATGTCTGTCTGTAGTTGCCGTTACAATTACTGATTTATTTAATTACAGACTAAACAGGTTTATAACTGGGACTTCAGACAGTTGAGGAGTACAGAGTGGGCAAAGACATAGGCTAGCTGCCATTTAATTATCTGAGGTTGCAGACCTTATTAGACATATAGTTTTGGTACAGTACGGCTGTGAGCAAGGGGGAGCGAGCAGGAGAACAACATCACAAAACAGGGAATATTTGTCAGGCAATGGAAAGATGAGAAAACACAACACAGTGACAGAGGATCTGAAAGTGAAGGAAAGAGTAAAGCCAGAGAGACACAACAGGGAGAGTGATGGAAAGTGAATGTGAGAACATGGATCTCTACCTCGAGACTACAGGAAGTTATTTTTAAATGTAACAAGGCTGAAAAAGAAGCTGTGCACCACGCCTCTCCACACACCACAGGAGAGGAGGAGAGAACGCACCACAGAGACAGGGAACCTGGGAAATAAGTGAGAAATGGCTGAAACGCGGAGGGGGGGGGGAGAGCAGGTAATGGGAGGCGTGGATCAGTCCTGCTGGCACTCTAGTGTTATTTAGACAGAAACAGAGAGAGAAAAAATGGCTGGATGCAGGAGGTGGAGGCGGTGAAGCAGAGATGGAGGGGGTCGTGGTAATGGCAGATAGTGGGAGAAAATGGGAGAACATGGGGTTAAAGGTAACTGGTTGGAGGGAGCCAAAGGAAGAAAAAAAACTGCTGCATAGACTTTCAGAAGGAAAGCTGCACTAATATGAAGATTTTAATATGTAAGCCAAAACTGTCTGACTCCTCATCAGGAGTCATTAATAACACCATCAAGTTTAATTAGAAAAGTCGTTTAAAAACAGGCACACAGGGGCCAACCATTGACGTCACACTGTCGTTACAAACTGAGAACAATGAGCTGAGAATGATCCTGATCAGCCAGCATCAGTAATCAATACTCCCATTATTAAAGCATTAATCAAACTAATACAGTCAGACAACCTGATCAGCCTTTATCAGTTAGTAGTGTTTCTGTAGTGGAGACTAAAACGTTACCAATGATCCATATCAGCAGTTTGAATCCACTAAAGCTCCCTGCACCAAACTCCCTTTAAGAAATATCACATTTTAACAATTCCTAACATGTTCGTAACAACACGTCACATCTTTACAGACCGTTCCAATCATTACGATTTCTCACTATAATAGGTGCTGTTTGGTGAATCAGATACACACCGAATATTCACCATCTGTTTTGTGTCTGTTTTTTGGCTGTAAATAAAGCTACTACTGGCGCTACAGAGAGACTGATTTAGAACTAATATCATGATACAGTGACCAACAGGTGCATGTTGGGTCTGGCTAACAGGCTAATATCATTGATACTACAGATGCTCTGTCAGCAGCACTGGTTAGTTGGTTTTGGAATAGGTTAAACACACTGAGGATGAATCTAAAATACAAGATTATTTGAGTGCACGAAAATACAAACGGCATCAAAGCAGCAGCTGTGTTTGAGGACCTGAGTGAAAATAACCATGAAGAGAAGCTAATGGCTTCGGCCCGGAGCAGTTTCAGGCGTGTCATTGGACAGAAACTATGATGTGATTTTCATCAGAAGATCTGAGCGGCCCTGAGTGGGCTGATAAAGTGATAAACCTCTGAACAGCCTCTGACACAAGAGGCTGACCGACGGGAGACGTGGCCTCGCTGAGCAGATAATATGATGGACAGGTGGGCGGTGGAGATGAGAAAAGGGAGAACTGAGGATGGAGGGTTGAAAGCTGCTAAATGTGATCCATCTGAGGTGAGCGACAGCTGGAGGGTGCCTGTTCTGCTGCCACTCATCCTCCTGCCATCAAACTCAGTCTGCTCTTCTGTTTAATGCTGCTTGCTTTGGAAGAAACAAATCTCTGAGATCATCCATGGTTGATTATAGGCAAATGGCAGAGATTGAGCAGGTAGATATTAGAGTGATACACCATTATCTGTAATATGATAAATGGACTGTACTTATATAGCACAAACTACAAACTATGGTACATGTACCGCTGGTGGTACGTGAGCTGCATCTAGTGGTATAAAGAGCAAAACATATAATATCATCATAATACTGAGAATATATATACTATGAGATTGCTGAAATGTAAATAATATTTTTTGCATTTCCTATAGTAATTTTGTTACAGTATCTGTCACATTACGAGCTAAAATGTGATGGCACGTTGGTAAGTGTAAAACAAAAGGGCAATCGTGGCTCCAAATGGAAACTATTGGTCTGGTTCTTGAACCGGTTCTGTTCAGGATTCAACAACAATAAATCAAGGAACTCAAAAATAAATAAAACTGACGTCACTGTTTGGGGTGTGGCCAGAAGCTCCAATTTTCTGCCTGATTATTGAGTGAGATTATTTTTGCCTTTCTGCAACTACAGCTACAATCTGCTCACTCTGTTCTACCGTGAAATCAACTCTACTTCACATATGCTTCACTGAGGTTTTATCAAACTGACGGTATGAAAATGCAGATAATCCCCAGGCTCTAAAATGGACTCTGAGGCTATTTACAGTCCAGGTCTTTGCTGTTGCTCCAGATTTGTTTGGTTAAGTGCGAGTGGAGCTCACAGATTTGTCCGTCTCTCTCTCTCTGTCCACAGTTTGCTGCCAGGCTCTGCTGCTTGCCAAGTCTGATCCATCTCATTAACAAACACACCTCCCCAGTGACTTCCCTCCTCTCCTCGCTCCCCCACTCTGTCGTCAGGGACGT